GCACCTGGAGAAGAAGTTGATATCCTTGGGGTGAAATCTGACTCCAAACTAACCATGAAGAACCATGTTATAAATCTTGCAAACAAGGCAGCCAGGAAGCTTACAGCACTTCGCCGTATCTCGCATCTACTTGACAGTAGGGGTTGCAAGATTCTGTACGAGGCACAAGTACGCTCGCACCCTGAGTATGCTCCACTTTCTTGGTTTGCCTACCCCCCTATCATCTGCGACTGCTTGACAGAGTAGAGAACAGAGCAAGACGTCTCATCTCTCGCCTGGACCCATCCTGGATAGATCTGTTATTTCAGCAGATCCTTCAACATAGGAGGGATGTGGGTGGCCTTACTGTTATGTACAAGGCCAATATTGTCAAAGTACCACACTTGGATCCACTTCGAGGACAGCGTGAAACAAGCTTTTATGCCACAAGACGGGCAGAAAGCAGCAACTTCACTCTGGCTGTACCCTTCTCCAGAACTCCACTCCATCTGAGATCCTATATACCCAGGATGACTCGAGTATGGAACACATTCGTACAGCATAATGATGTCAACGAGATAAAGTCAGTTCATCAAATGAAAATGCTGGCCCACAGATGGCTCCAATTTCATCCTGTTCCCTACTTGTATGTCTCAAAACAATAAAAATGCTTTCAAATGAGCTGATGTAGGTAACAGCTCTTAGCTTGCCAATAAAGTTAGGAATCCTTAACCTGTAAATAGCTTGTCAATAAAGCTAGGGATCCTTAACCTTGTCAAACCCTGTAAAAAAAGAAAAATAAAGAAAGAAAGAAAGAAAGAAAGAAAAGAAAGAAAAGAAAAGAAAAAAAAAAAGAGAAAGAAAGAAAGAAAGAAAAAAGAAGAACGAAGGAGGAGGAGGAGGAGGAGGAGGAGGAGGAGGAAGAAGAATGAAGAAATTCCCTTGAAGCAATATGTAAGACAAGTGTCAGTGACAAGCATCTGGGAGGGCAGTGATAAGATGAGATAAGGGATGACATTTAATGGGTGCCAGCGAGTGTGCAGAGATAAGGGGCGACATTTGATGAGCTCGTATCTGTCTCTGATTATCTGTCTCTGTCTGCTTGTCTCTTTCTGTCTCTCTCTGACTCAGAGAGAGCCACTGTGAAGCAACAGGAATTCTTATGCATTATATCTACAAGCACAGTATAGCACTTCGGATTTTTTAGGTTATCCTAGGTAATTTACACTATGTATAATTGTATTTGTGTGTACCTGTGAGACATAAAAAGAGATAGAGACAGATAGATAGACCCTAAACTTGGGGTTAACATCATTTTCCTCTTAAAATGTGTTTGGGGCGCTAGTGGTAAGAACGTATATATACGTTTGGACCGTTTAGGGGTTAAAGTAAAAGCAGCAATTACAATTTAAATACAAACACAACTTCAATTTCTTCCTAAATACAAATACCAATATTTTCTGTACTCTATTTTCAAAAGCAAATACACAGCAAAACAACTATATATTTGGCCCCATCCCTGCTCATCAGAATCACCATACCAGTTCTATCAGCACAGACATGCATATTTACTATTTTTTCTCCTATGCTCTTTTTGTCTAAGAGAAATGTTCTCGTTTCTCTGCACCCTCCCCATTTGTAATACTCAATTTCTTCACTTTGAAATTTCTAGAATGCAATGCATTCTCTTGCCTTTGCTATCCTCCCAATTTCATAAGCTCTCCTTACTCTTAAGCCAAGCATACTGTCTTCCCTCCTGAACCTACATCATCTCTATGGGAGAAAATGCTGGTATAAACACAACAGAAAATGTGTAAACATGTTAAGAAAGGGAAAGTGTTGCTTTGACAAAGACTACAGGTACTGCCAGTGATGTGGAAAGCTTCAACACAGTTCAGAGAATAAACCATACCACGGGCGGGGTTAGAACCCGCGATCAGTTATAAAACTCCATACCGATGTGTTAGCCATTGAGCCAGCTAGCCACAATAAGATTCATCCAACTAGATATATTTATACACCATAGGAAGGTTAGCATAGGCACTACTGTGACCACAATTCCAAGTTTTTACAGACAAATCTCCAGCTAGCATGGCCGTGACGAACTCTAGCTCAAGTCTCCTCAAAGCCGTCAACATGATCCACTAAATCGTAATGACATGATTTCGAGAGTCAGTTCAGAGAATATGACCTGAGCTGTCAAGACACTATGTGAAAGGAACGCTATCAAACCCAAGAAAGAGGACAAACAGAGGTGCACAACAGTGGGACATACCAATCCAGGCATTCACCCAACAGGGTCAAATATACAACAAATGCACAATCAATTCTGGAGAAGCCAGGGGGATGTACACCAGGAATCATACCAAGTGGTACACCACCACTGGTACTAACTAACCACACCAAACCAAAACCTCCCAAATGCTCCCTCTTTGGAAACTTTCAGAGTTTGAAATCAAATAAAAATGACAAAATTAGTTATATTAATAGGATCCTCTCAGAAGTGAATGCCATGTTTGGAGCACTTATAGAAACACACCCTAGGCATGTTCTGGACGGAGAAATATAGAAAACTATAATGTGTATCGATATGACAGAATTAATAAGTCACAGGGAGGAGTAGGACTGTGAAAGATATTTTCTGTAACTCGGAACTGCTAAATTCATTGAATATTACAGTAGAAGTTCTAGGTATTAAAGTTCAAAATGGTAATTTGGTAATTCTTCTTCTTTCAACAAACCAGCCATATCCCACCCAAACAGAGTGGCCCAAAAAGAAAATCAAAATTTCCATTTTTAACTTTAGTAATGTATACAGGAGAAGGGGTTACTAGCCCCTCGCTCCCGGCATTTTAGTTGCCTGTTACGACATGCGTGGCTTACGGAGGAAGAATCCTGTTCCACTTCCCCATGGAGAAATTTGGTAATTATCCTAGTATATAAAACACCGCCAGCAACAGCTAAGGAATTACGGATCAGTTAAGGAAGATAATATAGCTGTCTTGATAGGTTAGAAAATCCCACAACAAATATTATCTTCCTTGGAGATTTTAATCTCCCACGTGTAAAATGGAAGATGGCTCAATACAACGTTATATCAGAAACAGCTCCTGGCAGCACCCTGGCTCAACAGGTACATAAGGTTTTGTTAGAAGTGCTCATTGAGCCAACAGATAACTGAACCCTCTAGAAATGAAAATACCCTGGATTTGACATTCACAAACAAGGAACTAATCAGACAACAATTACAAAAACAATATACTCTGACCACATCATCATAGAAGTACAAATGAGCATAAACTCAAGGTTAGGAAACTACAGCATTAATGTAAGATAAGGGATGCTCAGTAAGTTTAACTTCAACAAGTACAGAATTGACTGGGACAAAATAAATCAAGAGCTATCAGACTTATCCTGGGAAACAGACATGAACACTAAATCCACACCAGTGTCTGGAGAAACTTAATACAGAAGCCATACTAGGTATGTATTAACTCTTTCGGGGTCGGTAGGCCCTCTCCTAAACTTGTTTTGTTCTCAGGGTCGGAAATTTTTTGGAAAAAAAAAAAAAAAAAATTCTTATGAAATGATAGAGAATCTTTTCCAAATCATAATGACACCAACAGTATGAAATTTGATGGAAAACTTACGGAATTATGCTCTCGCAAAGTTAGCGGTCTCCATGATGTTTACGCATTGGTGATTTTGCCCACTTTGAGCCCTATTTTCGGCCAATTCCAGTGTACTAGTCGACAAAAATCATAACTATTTCGCTAGAACTCCATTTTTTTTATCGAATGAGTACAAGAAACCATCCATTTACTGATTTCAACTATCCAATAAAGTGGTCAGAATTTAGCAATTTTGCCAATTTCACACAAATTTCAAAAGATGCCAATTTCCAAATAGGGTCCAGAATAAACAAGGAAGACATTCCTGGCACTAAAATAACATTTCCTCTGTTCATTAGTCATGTCCCCATGCCCCTCTTACATTCTTTTGCTTTCCACTTTGAATTTTTATTCACAGAAAATAGAAGATTTACTGTTATGCAGACTACTGCATTAGTGTAGAAATGATATAAATAATATCAGCGCACTTGTGAAAGAATATTAGACTCACCAGTTGACGTGTATTGGATGCGTAGCATGATTTGTTTACTTTTGAACTTCGGCAAAAATCGAAGATTTCTGCTACTTTGACTTGATTTCAAGGTACTTTTCATTGTAAAACCAATCAAAATCATCTCAATTTCTGTATTATGTCTTCCATTCTATAAAATGAGACCAGGAAAACTAGAATACCATCATAAATACCATACGAAAATACAGTGCAAAGTCGTTGTTTTAAACCAAAAACACTCGGTTTTTTTCTCATTACGCACCGTGTGCTGCAGGATTTTTTTTATGCTGTGCACACTGACCACATAGACCCATTCATTCATATGTAGCCCTACCAGCTTTCTCTCACTAGATCTGAGGGCGCTAGAATTTAGGCATACTAGTACAGTACATCAAAAACCCTGGTGCGTAAGCCGTACTAGTACATCAGAAACCCTGAAAGGGTTAAATACAAAACTACAGTAGTCCCTCTGTATCCGTGGGTGAAATGTCCCAAGCCCAACCGCGGATAGTAGCGAATCCTACACAAGTCGTTTTTTGTTTAAATACATACCTATGATACGGCTTAACTGATAAATTATGCACAACAAGACATTACTAACAATAAATAATAATAAAATACATTGTACATTATACTTCATGAATGGAAGATTTATTCTTGCTGCACATCTTAGTGACCTCAGCACATATTTTTTTCTTGTTGTATTAACTCGAGACTTGACACTTTTCTACTGATGGGAAGCACTTCACAGCCTCTCTTAGGCTTTCAAAAACCGCCATCACTATTTTGTGCTTTGGGGGTCTTTATTAACAAAATTAAGGGTTATTTTCAGGCCACAGTAAATCCTGGATAAGTAAAACTGAATCCACGGATATGTAGTCTACAACATGAAAACCAACCTTGAAATTAGCAAGATGGGGAGCAGCTTTATTGTATGCTGGAGAGTCTGTCCTGGATGCAAGGCGAGAAATTGGTAGAGATTTGAATATACATTTCTTCTGAAAGTTGAGTTTCTCTTCCATCTGTTTCAGGTCAGGCTGTGGTAACATATCAGAAATCTCATCTGAAAAACAACCAAATATTAAGCATAAACCATTAATATATACATTTTGCTAAAAAGTAAAGGTTAGCTAATCAGATTTAAGTTCTAATAAACATCAATTTCAATCCATTAACTATTAAGGTGGGCATCAAACACCTTTCTATAAAACACATGATTTTAATGACATTTTGCCAAACATTGCAGCACACACAAGAAAGTCGGTGCAATGCTAATGACAACTTATGACATGCATTACATACATCTGGAGGCAGTGGAAATGTCATGTATGAGAGCATTGAGTGATGTATAATTTAACCAGGAAATAACGTGTAGAAATTAGGTATTGTATGACATTTATAAGTCAGAGTAGAGGGAATGCTGAGATAGTCTGGTCAACAGGGCATATCAATCAAGGGTAGAGGACATTCCAGTAAAGATCTTAAGTAGAACAGGCTTGAGCATCCAAAGGCATATAACAGCAGCAGTGTGTGTGATTGAGTGTACTCACCTATTTATAGTTGCAGGGTTCGAGTCATAGCTAATGGCCCCTGACTATTGACTGATCACTACTAGGTCCTCTCTCCCTGCTCCATGAGTTATATCAAACCTCATCTTTAAACTATGTATGGTTCCTGCCTCCACTATGTCACTTGCCAAACTATTCCACTTCCTGACACCTCTATGACTAAAAAGAGAGAGAGAGAGAGAGAGAGTGTGAGAGAGTGAGAGTGTGAGAGAGTGTGAGAGAGTGTGAGAGAGTGTGAGAGTGTGAGTGTGAGAGAGTGTGAGAGTGTGAGAGAGAGTGTGAGAGAGTGTGAGAGAGTGTGAGAGAGTGTGAGAGAGTGTGAGAGAGTGTGAGAGAGAGTGTGAGAGAGTGTGAGAGAGTGTGAGAGAGAGTGTGAGAGTGTGAGAGAGAGTGTGAGAGAGAGTGTGAGAGTGTGAGAGTGTGAGAGTGTGAGAGAGTGTGAGAGGAGTGAGAGAGAGTGAGAGAGTGTGAGAGTGAGAGAGAGAGTGTGAGAGTGAGAGAGAGAGTGTGAGAGTGAAGAGGAGAGATTGTGAGTGAGAGTGAGAGTGAGAGTGAGAGTGAGAGAGAGAGAGAGAGAGAGAGAGAGAGAGATTGTGAGTGTGTGTGTGTGAGGGGGGGGGGTGACCACTGGAGTATGTGGAAGGTAACATTCATGAAGGGACCAAGACAGATGTGCTGGTAACTTCATAAGGATGAAATTCAAACAATGGCATAACTCTGCAATTGTCAACGGCATCAGGGAACCCGTTAGTATACCTTAGTCTGCAACCATTGCTTCATGGAGATAAGCTATAGCGTTACATTTTCTTAGCCTCGGGACAAGACCAACCAAGCTAATGCATCAATTTAGATACTTTCACCACTCTCCTTGAGTAACCTAACACCATTTAAACATTTTACCTATGGGTATTTTCCTCATCATTAGAGGAAAAATTAAAGCCCAAATATCAACATCAGGTACCTTCATTTAAATTTTCATTTGTTGCTTTCAAACTGATTGATTTATTTCACTTGTTCCTTGCATTCACTTCCTTTAATTTTTCTCTGTCTCAACATAAATTTCCACTGGCTATCAAATATTTGTTGAAAGTCAACAAATGGTTCAGTGATCTAAACAGAATTAACAAACAGCTTGGCAAAGCAGACCACACAGGCTCTATTGCACCTCTGGATCCAGGGTAACTTCAGTCAGACAAAATCCTGGAGATGGGAAGTACAATGAATGTGCCAATTTGCTCCTCTATGGAAGAATGAAGAAAATATATATCATAACAGAGTACAGGACAAACTCGAATCATTCAATAGAGTGAAAGTTCCTTGTGCGAGACCTGAAAATAATGATGTTAGATGATCTCACATTCAAGGATCACACTAATTTTGTTATTGCTACAACACAAAGTGAGAGACTGGAAACTAAAACTTTCAAGATAAGAAATTCTGAACCAATAATGATACTCTTCAAGTCACTTGTTCTTTCCAGGCTCCATACCAATGGCCCCCTTCAGAGCAGGCGAGATTGATGAAATGGATAATGTACAGAGAACTTTGACTGCCCACATACACTCAAACAGATGAACTACTGGGAACACTTGAAGGCCCTAGGAATGTAGGGACTGGTCCTAAACCTCAACACTGAAATCACTCCATTTGACAAGAGACTTGGCACAGTACAAAATATTTCCACTAAAAAGCAGGGGCATAACAAGTACATACAGAGAACTCTAAGAGCATGAAAGGTCTTTGATTCTTCAATGCCCACCCTCAATGCATAAGGGAAATTACCAACAAACCTCTGGCTATCAAGAGAGAAATAGAGAAGTTCCTTAAATCAGTGCCTGACCAGCAGGGCTGTGGCTTACACAATTGGCTGTGTGGCCAACAACAGCCTGGATGATCAGGCATGGTCTAGAACTGTGCCACAGGAGCATTGACCCCCCCAATATTTCATTCAGGTCTACCTACTTGGTTATGTCCACACAATTGTAGCATAACTAGTGAACAAATGATGGCAAATGAGTTTTCCAAGTCACCCTACCTCGATGGGAGATAGTCAATGGTAATTTTTTTTTATAATCACCCGTTACCAGTTCCACACCATAATGCAGGATATGACTTATCCTACTGCTAATTTTAGAATGTTAGTATCTCTCTTATTCCCAGTTTAGACAAAGATCCTTGAACCAGTTACATCTATACGAGTCACTTGTCTGGCCTCTACTTAAACTGTAAAAAAAAATTGTTATTCAAGGTGAACTACAGACTATTCATGGCATGACAAAGTATTGTAACCCATGCATCTTTCTAAGCACTCTGTGCTATACATTGCTTAACATCTTTATTGCAAACCCTAAATTTAGTTCCTGATTGTTTACTTAATTTTTTTTTTTATATCATGCCAGCCATCTCCCACCAAGGCAGGGTAGCCCGAAAAAAACTTTCACCATTACTTAGTCGCTATTAATATTATAGCCACAAAAAGGCATTAAACTTGTATGGATCATTTAACATTTACTATTTAAAAGCTTGTAGTTTTATTTCTACTTAACTTAATCAAATACTATTTTATGCAGGATTTTTACACTTTCCCTAAATACCATTGCTCCATTTCTCAACATCAAGAAGGCATCTTCAACTCTTGTTGAGCATTACAAGATACTGTATTTGTAGGAACAGTTTACTAGTGAAGTGAATTTGCACTACTAACAAAGTTATGTAAAGGTTAGTACCTTTTAGGTCTGGATGCCGAGTCATTACATTAACGAGAACATCAACCAGCTGGTCCTTTGACAGTCCCTTAATGGCTACTTCAGGTGGAGACTGCACGGGAGATACAGTCAGGCTGCGACATTTCTTCACAATCGGAGACATCTGTATCATCTTCTGCATCATAATTAAAACTAAGATGCATTACCCTAGAAATCTAAAATTTACACCACATTTAATGAAAATATTGAGAAACGTTAAGAATTCATGTGGAACCTACACAACTTACTTCAGTCTATGCTGACCTTTGCAGCCCAGTAACCTGCTCCCTTAGGAAGAAGCCCCACTATAATATTATACAAGTAAAGCACTTGAAAAATAGCAGGGAATAAGACAGCACACACATTTTAAAATATATATTTTGAAAATAACTTTATATATATTACTTCCTTTCTGAAATGAATGCTGGGTAGATCAGTATGATGAAGTCGTCATACTCATACCCAGCTATAATATACTGTTCTGTACAGTCATGTCTACATATACAACGTATTTCCCAACAATTTTAAGATTCAAAGATTTTTTAATACAATAAGACACAGCATTCACTTAAATCATAAACAGAATAATAGAATTTACATCCAATATTCTTTTTGAATACTTCATACTCCTGTTTTAAGAGGATAAAAATTTGAGGTTGCTGGGCACCCCTAAAAGACTCCCCCCCCCCTTTTTTTAAGTTTGCACAGAATGCTCGAGTGCTAGCCAGGACCCATGGCCTGGCTGGCAAAGCTCTTGCTTTACACGCTGAGGGTTCAGGTTTGATTCCTGGTGGAGTGAAAACATTTTGACGTTTCCTTACACCTGTTGTCCTGTTCACTCAGCAAGTAGGTACCTGGGTGTTAGTCGACTGGTGTGGGTCGCATCCTGGGAGACAAGATTGAGGACCCCAATGGAAATGAGGTGTGTCCCTCAATAATGCACTGCTTTTCTTGGGTAATCCTCAGTGGCTAACCCTCTGGGGTTAAAAATCTGAACAAAATCTTATCTTGCCATGTGTACATAAGCGTATGTATGTACATGTACATATATGTGTGTGTATGTATGTGTGGGCTTCGTGTATTTGGCATCCTCTTTTCAGTGGTCCACATTTTGCTGGCTTTCAATTGACCCATTATACAGTGGACCCCCGGTTAACGATATTTTTTCACTCCAGAAATATGTTCAGGTGCCAGTACTGACCGAATTTGTTCCCATAAGGAATATTGCGAAGTAGATTAGTCCATTTCAGACTCCCAAACATACACGTACAAACGCACTTACATAAATACACTTACATAATTGGTCGCATTCGGAGGTAATCGTTAAGCAGGGGTCCACTGTATATTATAATAACCATGGGGAAGCACTAAACCTGTAGGATCATACAGTACCTGTGGGGGGGCGGGTGGAAGGTAATCTGGCTTAATTCAGGGAACTGGAGCACAGATCCAATTCCCTAGATCAAGAGCCCCTCACCAGCATCAAGGAACCTCCCTCGAGGGGTTCAATTGAGCCAGTGTTCATGTTTGGTACTTTTACTGCTTTTTCGCACAAGTTACACAAGGGAAGGGCAACCAGCACCATATTTTAGGGTAAGTATTGTAAGTACTGTTTTTATTTTACTTTGTGTTTTACTTTTTTATGCCCAACTGTACTGAGCACCTAACCTGATAGTATAAACATGTTAACAGTAATTTAGATCATTTGACACAAAAAATGCTCTTCACCCGGCAATTTTGACTTGCAGCAAGGGGTTGGGAACCTAAGAACCATACAAACAAGGCCCTCCCAAATAAAAAGCCTTGTGGGTTTAGCACTTTTGATTGTAATTATAATATATATGAAATGACCAGAGGAAACAGCAAAGATAGGACTATGAAGGAAGAAAATTGAGATTCACAGGTGTCAAGTAAAACGATGCACGAACTACAAATTGGACATTTTATTGCAGCCATGGTTTGGTCTCCATGAGCTTTTGTCAAGCTAGTACAAGTGCTGCAGTAGGTTTAATGGCTTGTGGTAGTAAAGGACACATCTAGTTATGTGATGGCAGGTTTCATATTAAGGATTCTTGCTAATGCTTCAGAGATGACGAAGTTACTTTTATCCTGTTTGTCTGGGATGGTGATTAATGATAAAGGGAATTTTCATCTGAGCATTTGGTTCTTTTCTAAGTGGGTAGCATTGAATCTCATTAAATGGTTGCTGGCATTCATGTTTAATGATTATTAAAGCAAAGTGCTAAACCCACAAGGTACACGTGTTGAAGTTGTTGCTTCAGCAAGCACTAATGTCTTTGTTCATAAGTGGTCCTAGGCTTCGTGATGTTTTCCCAAAATACTTTTCGTAACAGCGCTTGTGTTGACTGGTTCAAGGCACTTTACCTTGGTCCTGATGAGGTCTTCAATGGACCAGGGAAAACATTGTTTTCTCTGGTCCAGCACCAGAGAAAACTTGAATGAATCTGCATTTGGCCCAGTCACTCCCCTTAACACTCCACTTTTGTTTACAATTCTCAGCACGAATTATTCATTACTTCTCTCTTCGTTTATGTTGGCATCTAAAGGTAGTTGTTAGAAACTATTAAATTCAGTGAACAAGGTATGCCGATGGTAATATTATGGCTTTGGGCCGCATTAGATATATAGCTACGTAGGTAGGTGTAGCCCAGGTGGGCTACTCCTACCGGCTACCTACACCGACTTCCTACAAATAAATACTACTCGCCTCTCATCCTACATTAAGACTACTATTTAAGGTAAGTAATGAATGTACTGTATGTGTATTTTATCTCTCTGGGTTGCTTTATCATATATTAAGTTTGGGACAGGGAGCCAGGGCTACCTACACCTGACTTCCTACAAATAAGTATGTACTACTCAGCTCTCGCCCTACATTAAGGCTACAAATATTTTAAGGTAAGTAATGAATGTACTATGTATGTTTTTTTACTTTTGTTTTTAATGCCTCGTTCTATTACTAACTTAATACAAGTTAGTGTAAACTTGTTGTCTGGCATTTACATGCATTTATAAGTGGATAGCCGGCAACAGCCTGGAACCTAACCTGCCGTATAAGTGGGGCCCTACTGTACCTGATGCGATTGGTCTGAGGTATATTATATTTATTGGTCTCAGTTCATACAAAAGTGCTGGTTTGGGGGGTTATTAGTTATTAAGCTTTGTCTGGATTTGATTTAGGAAGACTTGGGCGTCCACCACTGCTGTTTTTTATGCAGACTGGTCATTAAGTGGCCTATAATTTTGGTGGTGGTGGTGGTGGTGGTCACTAACGGTGATGACCCTGCCTCATTTGTCTGCTGTGGTGAAGTCCTGAAGGGCAACTGTATACAGTCTAGGGAGATTGATAGAGCAAAGCTCACATGGTTGTGGCAAATATACCCTGCATATAACAGCTGCTGTCACATCAGGTATATAGGGAGTGCACCACATTACTACATTCATGGGAAGTATTAAACCCATAGGGATCATACAGTGTATGGGAGATTGACTATTTAAATTCAATATTGGGAAGGGAAGGGGAGCCGGGTCACCATATGGAGAAGACCCTGGCCGGAAGTACCGGTGAACCTCTAATGAAGGAAGGGGAGAGCAGATCCAATTCCCTGGATCAAAAGCCCCTTGCTGGCATCAAGAAACCATCAGCCCTGCTCATCTACAGCACTCAAGTGATCTTAATCTCATATCTCTATCCAAAACAAGAAACTAGGTAATTTAGATATTACTTCACCACTAAGGTATCCACCACACAAGCCAATGACCACATGACACAAAGCTAATCAGATTCTTAATCTTCGACTACCTCCTAGGGATTATGTCAGCCTGACTAAACTCTGCATGAACTTTTTCTCTTTCAACATATAACACAAGTATGTGCTCCCCTATCTGTGCCTTCTTTGCAAATCCCTCTATGAAACACTTAGACTCTGAACACTTTCCCATCATCCCCGCCAACACAATTACATGGATGGCATTTTTATAATCACTCCTAAACATTTTGATGTGCAGACAAGAGAAGGCTCATGAACTGGCAATCCAAGTCACACAGTCCAGTGACAAGTTGCCATTCCTCAACATCCTCATCCAGAAAAGGTAACATCCTAAAACTTAGTCTGCAGAAAACCTTAAAAAAAAATATTCCAGTAAAGATATTATGGCTAAACAAGGCATCATTAGCTCTTTTCTGAAAGCATACTGAATTTGCATCCCTGAGTTTGAGTATGTATACATGTGAAGCCAAATTATTTTTTTTTTCCCATCTGATTAAGAAAGTGTCCTTCATGCACTTACACCACTTTAAACAATGTCATAAATTTTCACAAAAGTCAAGATGCTTTATACACCTTCAAAGCATGTGTGTAAATCACTAAGTCACCACAGCAATCAGCATATCCATCAAAAAACCTCACCTTGAACCAGTCAATGCAGGGGTTTGCATAATTCCTTGAGGCTGTGATTAGGTATATGTCAGGAAAACAGCACAAAATCTAGAAACACTTCTGAATGAATAAATCAATGCATGCAGAAGGAACAACTTAATGAATGTATACAACACCAGAATGCCACCATTTTATGTGATTCAATTACATCTGTTGAGTGATCAATGATCTAAACACTCCTGATTAAAATGCCTCAAATTATCATTAACCCTTTGGGGGTCACCAGGCCCTTTCAGAGACTTGTTCTCAGGGTTGCCAAAATTTCAAACAAAAAAAAAAAATTTTTTTTTTCTTATGAAAAGATAGAATCTTTTCCCGATCATAATTACACCAAAAGTACGAAATTTGATGGAAAACTTACGGAATTATGCTCTCACGAAGTTAGCGGTCTCAACGATGTTTACGCATCGGCGATTTTGCCCAATTTGAGCCCTATTTTCGGCCAATTCCGGTGTACTAGTCGACAAAAATCATAACTATTTCGCTAGAACTCCATTATTTCTATCGAATGAGTACAAGAAACCACCCATTTACCGATTTCAACTATCCAATACAGTGGTCAGAATTTAGCAATTTTGCCAATTTCACACAAATTTCAAAGGATGCCAATTTCCAAATAGGGTCCAGAATAAACACAGACATTCCTGGCACTAAAATAATATTTCCTCTGTTCGTT